GGGAAAACAGTACACCTCTCTGAACAGTGTCTGGGAGGCTGTGGTTGCTGCTGCACGCAATGTTGATGGTGAACAGATCAAAACACTGACAGAATCCATGGATGGCAGGCTTTTGAGTGTCCTTGCAAAGAAAGGTGGCTATATTGGTCGCTGATTTGTTTTTGTTTTGTTTTTGAATGTCAGAAATGTATATTTGTGAATGTGGAGATGTTATATTGGTTTCACTGGTAAAAATAAATAATTGAAATGGGTATATATTTGTTTTTTGTTAAGTTGCCTAATAATTATGCACAGTAATAGTCACCTGCACACACAGATATCCCCCTAAAATAGCTAAAACTACAAACAAACTAAAAACTACTTCCAAAAACATTCAGCTTTGATATTAATGAGTTTTTTGGGTTCATTGAGAACATGGTTGTTGTTCAATAATAAAATTATTCCTCAGAAATACAACTTGCCTAATAATTCTGCACTCCCTGTAGTTGGAGAGTAGGAGAACACAAAAAAGTGACATCATTGAAAGAATGTGGAAAAACATGTCATTTCATTTTTCTCTCTTAGGAAGCTTAAAGTTTCCTTTTGTTCCACACAGACCTGATCTTTTCATTTAGTTTCCATCTCTCCAGTGGAGTGGAAGCCTCCACGGACATTGTCACAAGTTTTGCACGTCACATTTAATAAATCTATTCATCAAGTCCTTTCCACGTCACTGCATTACGCATTTAGCAAAGGCTTTTCTTTGATATTTCCATGCAGGCTTGTTCTGCACATAAAAAGGTGCATGACTATACTCCTAATGAGATAATTCTCTGAGTTTATCGCTGGAAACGGCCCTGTTTGACCAATATGGTAATTTTGAAACAAATTTGATCCGTTATTAATGCAAAACGGTGATTAGCAGCTTGTCTTTTTTTTAATCATCTTCATATTACTAGTGTTCTTATATTAATTTCAGAGTATTCCTTGGATTAAAAACAATGATAGACATATTTCCCTTTTGTTATGAGAAACAATTGCAGAGCACTACTCAAACTCTGGAACACTTTCAGCTCCAGTACACTTAGGAAACTCACAGATTACTATTTCGCTCATGTTACTGTGTCAAGAAAAGCTTGGGGAATGTTTTTCCCTCACTGAATATGAGTCAGGTTATTGGTGTTTTACTCGATTAGTCAGCTTAATGAAAATAGCCTAAGCACGAAGAGGATCATTTTAATAAATGACTGTGAAGATACCTCGGTAGCTACAATATATCTCCTTTTTGAATATCACTAAACCTAAAAATGTAGCAAGTAAGGACATACCAAATAAACTGAGCTAAAGATGTTTATTTCTATAAATCTGTAGTTTTTAAGCCAAGAAGACTTTCAGCCATATTTTACACACCAGTCTGAAATCACCAAGCTTACATACACCAGCACATGCCCACAAAAGACATGCAGTCTGAAGCTTTTATTTATGGCTTTGGCGCTACACAACAGGAGCATGGGGTATATTATGGTGGAAAAACTCTAGTCCTGGTTTCCTGGATTAATATGGAGCAAATATAAAGTGTCAGTTTCAATTTGAGTATTTATACTAAAAGTGGTTGATGCTTACTTAAAGTACAGAACAGCTTGATACACTCATGAAAGGGAGTTTTGCTTTTACTGGCAATACCGGTGGTTGTGACTACTGGCAGTGTGTCACGCCTGCCAACACAGGAAGACTATGATTAAGTTGGTTTGTGTGGCAATCTGCAACAATATAAAATTTCAAAACATCAGGATTGACAGAACAGTGATTCTATAGGGTCTGGATGAGATGGCTGTATGATAGTGAGGGAAAAAACAAATGAATCATTAATTTTCACATCTTAAAATTAAAATAAAATTATTAGAATTTAATTTTTAAAATGTAAGAGTCAAGAAAATGTTCAATAATGATTTTTTTTACATAGGTGGATCCCATCCTTTATATTTTTACTTGTGCACAACCAGCATTAAGAAACTGACTAAAAGTGTGAACTGAATGCCATTCATAATCGTATTTGAATAAACTAGACAGCCCTCCATTTTTTAACCATTTATCCAATTCTGGTTCATGCAGCAGGTGTGAAGCTTATCCCAGTGGTCATGGGGTGGAAAATGGGATACACCCTGGATAAGTCATGAGCCTTTCTCAGTGCTCACCTGACAAGAGTGTATTTGGACAGTGGGAGGAACCAGGAGAACCCTGAGAGAACCCCCACATACGAAACTCCACCAGAAAGGCCCCAGACAACAGATTTGAACCAAAGCAAGACCTTCTTGGTTTGAGGCAACAGTGCTAAACACTACCACTCTATGGAAGTCATGTGACCCGTCATTAATTCAAAAATAATTAAAATAAACGGAATATTCTGTCTCTAAAACACTGTGATGGATCACCCTTAGCATATTCACAGCCCTTTTGCTGGTTACGTAACAGCTGTCACTGACCTTTAACTCCATTTTGTGGAAATTAGTCACGAGTGACTTCTCAATCTACTCCCTATGACGTCAACACTGGTACACATGCCTCATGGACAGACTTGGGTTGGTAGCGACATTGATGCTGGAAGTTTATCCCCCTCTAAACTCTATCCTATTCATACCGCAGCCACAGGAAGAAGCATAGTCTTTCAGTCTGCTCAACTGAGTCACAATGATCTTTAGTCTAATCTTTATCTCTTTTTACTGCTGTGTCTGGTTGCTCTATAGTTGTTGACTGAATCATGTCTTTTAGTCTTGTCTAGAAACAGATAGATAGAAGCAGATGGTTGGAACTAGAACCACTTTTATGCCACATTCAAACTCTATGTTATTATTGTTATAATATCCTAGAACACTTAGGGCAGTAGGACTAAAAATAATTGAATATGAATGTTTAAGCCTCTGCACTGTATTAGTGAGAAGAAAATATGAATGATCTTGAATGCCTCATGACAACCTACAGCAAAAAAGATTTATATAGCACAATGATTTTATACTCGATATAAGTAATTCTAAAACCAACCACCTGATATTTAAATGTCACTGAGCTCAGTCAGAACCAGTATAACTGTTCCTCACACTCCTGTTTATTACTGTTAGTGATTGCAACCACCATGGTAAACCTGCACTGTGAGCCATGATGTGGATTTCAAGCACTCACTGCCAATCATGCTAGAAAATGATTTTGGGTTCTCTGTGCAATTACGTAAGATTATTTCCAAGAAATACGGGGTCCACGTTGTATTCATTTTTTATGCAATCAATCTCAATGTGCAATTGCTTCAATCTCTTGTGTTTATGTATGACTGACCATGTGGGCTCTTTTTGGAGCCCTGGAGCTGGCAGGAGAAAGTAGAGGCAAGACAAAACAGCGGTCCTAACAAGCAGCTAAATGGATCAGTGTCCGTTTCCCCTGGGAAAGATAAGTCGCCTTGGGAAATGAGCACAAGTAGGTATTAACACAGTGACACAGCTCCTGTCTCCTAGCTGACACAGAACTCTGTGCGGAGCTTCTTGGCCGCTGGGTGGCTTTGGTTAGAAAATGCTAGCTGTCATAGGCTTAGACTTTTTGACACATGCAGTTTTTTCAAACCTTTGCACATGCTTAATAACTAGTAGGCTGATTATGAATGGAACTTGAACATCAAGCTCGTGTTAAGGATGCCTGTTATTTGCAGCTTGCATGTTAATGTTGCCCTCTCCAGTGCATCTGTCGGGCTTTGACTATGTGTGAATGTTAATGAGAGAGCCAAGATTAAAAACACTGCTGACCAAAAAGAGTACAAAAGCTCGTCTCACATTTTCCAAAGAACATCTTGTTGATCCCCAGGACTTTTGGGAACATATTCTGTAGACTGATGAGACAAAAGGTAGATTTTTCAGAATGTTTGAGTCCCAAGACACCTGGCATTAAATTAAGAGAGCATTTCATAAAAACAACATCATGCCGACAGTCAAACATCGTGGTGGTAGTGCGAGTGTGATGGCCTCACACTACCTGAAGATTTGGTGCTTCAGGATCTGGACCATTTGCTGTAATCGATGGAACCATGAATTCTGCTCATTCAGAAGAAGAATATAATAACTAAATATATGCAAATAAGTAAATAAAACAAAGGTTTTGGTGTGGCTTAGGTAAAGTCTTTACTTATGCTTTGGTATGACCTTGAACTGGCCATTTTGCCAATTATAAAACTTTAAAAGGTAAATGAAAAACTGAAAGATCAAACATCAAAGCACGACACACACTACCACAGGAGGTAGAGCAGGTCACCTACCAATTGGAAGGTTAGTGGTTTGATCCCTGGCTCCTCCAGTCTGCATGTCAAGTATTCTTGGGCGAGATACTAATCCCGGGTTTTTCTCCGATGCATCCATCGGAGTGTCAGTGTTAGTTAGGAAGCATTGAAAGCTAGAAGATAGTGAAGCATGTTGTATTGGGTGCTTTGAGTACTCCAGGAGACTAGAAAAGCGCTATATAAGAATCAGTCCATTTACCCTTCAGCACTATCGATTCTTTTCCGGTTAGATTTTTGCCACAGTTTTTGAACTTATCAGCAAGAGATTTGCATCACCTTGGCCATTTAGGTAGATTACATCATAGACTTTGCTAAGAAGTCTGAATCAGACCTTGGACACTACAAGTGTGAGGGATCTGTTGTGAGTATAATCAAGAAATCTTTTGTTGTCACAAACTGAAAGGTCCTTCCCCCCTTTTCGTCTACAGCTTGCAGCACGTGTCAATGCAGCTCAACCAGTGTGAGGGAAATCCATGGAGGAGATTAAATAGGCAGCTTGCAAAGAACCACAGAGTTTGTTCACAGACAGCCTACAAAAACAATTCCAGATCAGTGACCATATGTAATTAACTGTTTTAGGTAGGTAGCAATGAAACTGTATTTGTCCGTTTTCTTAAATTCTTTCCTCCAGCCGCTGCGACTGTTTGTATCATGATGGCTTGACCCAGAGGTTGCCACTTTATGTTTGTGTCTTTGTCTGCAGCTCTAGTACAGGCTTGAGGTTTTGGCAAGAGTGAAGAGAGCAGGAGAGTGTTGTGGTGGAGCGGGAGGATGGAGATGGATGTGGAGGGGAGACAGGACAAAGAAGAGGAGGAGTGGACAGTCAGCCTAAAGAGTCATAAACAGAATTGAGGTAAAGAGTTCATGCCAAAGGAAGGAAGCCTATATAATTTCAAAGTCAAAAGTATAGAAATATACTACAATAGATCTCTCACCACAACTATAACCCAAACTTCTCTCTTTTACTTTCATATCACAATTTGGTTTTTTTATGCCCATGAAAAAGGATTCTGTAATACAGTAATTTACATTTTTTATCCTGTCATTTCATGCACTCCGGCCCTTTTGCCTTCTGTTCTCTTTCAAATTATATCTGCTCTCACCAGCCTCTTCTGAGGCCAATTTACCCTGGTACCGCTTTCATGCCACAGTCTGTTATTGTGCCTCAGACCAGGCTTTTCTCACTGCTATCCCAACAGAACCCCCACAAAAAAGTTGGTTACTGATGTCATCCACTATTTCAGTGAATGCCCTATAATCAGAACAGCTCTGCTTTGTGACTGGAGCTGCTCGTCTGAAAGGGACTCTGTGACTACTGTGGGACCCAAGAAAGAACATATGGCATCCTTTAAAGTCACTTAAAAAATGTGTGGAACCAATGACTTCCAGTGTTCATCAAATCAAATCTAAGCTGGTAATGTTGGTAGTGTTTAGTGATCTCCCAGTTCATGTCGCCTTTTGTTGCCAGAAAGGCAACAAAAGGCGACTTTGCAACTTTTTCTACTTTTTATCTCTCAGAATGATCAAAAACATCTATGATTTTACAAATAATGTCCTTAGTAGGGATATTGAATGTTCCCTAGCTAGTTGTGCAAATTCCAAAAAAGGGTGAAGGACTGCACCTTCAATCACTTTTTGACTTTCATGGTTCCAAAAGGGTAATTATGGCTATCTAGGTGCTCCTTTCCCCCCTCTGTGGAAAAGAAAATAGACTCAGATCATAAAGCAGAAAACACCAGGATGCAGAGGCTACTGGCATATAAAAGTGGGTCTGTGCTTTAGCAACGAGTCTTTTTATGTACAAAATACGAGTTATGAATCATACAAGCACCAATTTTTTTTCCATAAGTGTAATTATCCTGCAACACACAAATTGATATTTTCACCTTCACACACTGTTTCGATCAGAAGCTGGGCAGCTGCACCTCTGGTAAAGTGTGCTGTGTGCAGGCAGAGAGACTGATTATTATGGAGGAGCCAGAATCAAAAACAAAGAAGAGACACAATTTCAGGAGCATTTTTCTTCAAAACGTCTGAAACCCGAGCGTGTTCTGAGACTGTATTATTGCAGTTTACAAGCACTAATGTTTGCCAACTAACATTAGCGTAGTGATGAACACGATTTCTCAAAACTTACCTGAACACAGATATACTTGAGATTTCTGAATGTGCAGAAATGTATAAACAAAGTTAATGTGCACAGTTACCACATGTTTAGCAGGTGAACAAGAGTAGTGTGAACTCATTACACTCTGACTCATGTAATCAAAAAACACCAGTTGGAGCACTTTGTAAAACATTTTGATTCCTTCAACAGTTGCTGAATTAGCTAAAATTGGACAAGCTTTGTATTAAACAGCACATTGTGCTTTTGTATTTTGATGACCTACAATTATCCCTCATAAATATATCCACAGGGGGGCCAAATAAAATTTGCCACGTTTTACAACCCGTCATTAAGAGCCAGGGCTCCTTCTGTTTAACATCATCTAGCTGTCTAAATTAAAACAACAGCTGATAGCTGAGAAGAGAAACAGGTTTCTAGTTAAGAAATGGATGACATGTTAGACAAAGAGAGACTTCAGAGTTCAGGAGTCTTACAGACCCAGATGACTGTCCTGCTGCTGACCCTGCACCAGACCTGTCACTTAAGTGCATATCAGCTGTCAGCCAGCAGCAGAAAAAGCATGGGAACCTATCCTGGCTGACAATAAGAGGAGCAGTGCATCCGAGACAGAATGCTAGGGAGATGCTCACATTCACATTCATACCTGTCTCATTTAAAGTCACCACTGACCCTGTAGTGCATGTCTTTGGTCTGTGGACCAAGCTCTCAGATTAAATTTTTTCTGCCATGAAAAATTTTAAGGCTGGCATATACGAACATGCCTGCTGGTACTTACCGAGAGACATTATGCTACGAATATTCTTCAGACTTAAGAGATCCAAAGAGATTCCAGGGAACAGCTTCGTGAGCTGCTCCAAGAATTTGATTTAAAATGTCAAAAAGAATAATATCAGGAGAATTAAGGTAAGAAATGGGCACGCTCATGAAAAACTGTGATTAGACAGAGAGAGTGGATCAACACCTGGGGGACAGAGGGAACCACAACAAACTAGCAGAGTAAAAACTACAAAAAGATGAGAGCAAAAATGCACTTAATTAAGGCTGATTACCACCAAGGATCTGCAGATGACTGTTGTTGTTGTTGTTATACTAACATGTTCAAAATAAAGATACAGTACAATACAATAAAGGCAGAAAGTATCAGAGAAGAACAATAAGCTAGCAAAGGCTTCATACTCAGAGTTACAAAGGCCTGGATAGGTCGGTTAGAGTTTTTTTTAAGTAAGTCTGGTGTAAAAAATGTGACATCTAATCGTAAAACCTGTGTTAAGAACTTGATGGCCTTTAAGAAATGGCAAACTGGACCGTGTGGCTGGTTTCATGCATTCTTATAAGCCAGTTTTATAGAATGAAACTTAAATGGTCATTTAAATGATAAACCCAATAAAAGAAAATCTGCAGTAGGTTTTAAAGAACATGTGAAACAGGCAGAAACTGAACAAACCACTGGAAATGTTTGGTAAAGTGTAGATGGGAAGCAGATTATGATCTCAAAAATCACTTAAACATCCATATTAAATGTTCTTTAGGCCTAAAGCCTTTGACATTGTATTGCACTCTCAGACAAACTTCTCACACAAAGTTAAGATTCCTCTGTAAATTGTTTCTCGTGCAGTATTTCACCAAACGTAGAGATCATGTGTTAATTCAATCCCACTCCCACTCCTCTTTTTTCACAATTACAAATGAATGTTTGGAAATATTCCAGATACAAACGAACTTTCTTGTAGAATAAACAAGCTCAAAAAGATCAGAAGACCAAAATCTTAAAGGATGGTGAAATCTCAAACCACAGAAGAGGAACATTCTGTTTTTATATGTCAACTGGCTGAACAGTGACCTGGCAGACTATTAATAGTTACTGGCAGCCAGATGTGTTAGTAGGTTCAAGTAATGCTATTGTAGGAGTTTAGTATTATGTGTGTTTTTTTGCAGCACATTCACAGAAGGTGTTAGCTATAGGTGGTTTGTTTATTTTTGATGTATAAATGTAATCAAAAGTGTTTGCAGCACATAATGCATTATTATGAAAGAGAATGCAAAAAACTGAAGTGTGTGATGCTCAAACTGGCAAAAATAACTCCCATTTTCTACAAAGGAAGAAGCATGCCCTGCAGAAGCTGTAATGTTTTGAACCACAACCTCAACATATACATTTCTTTTGGTTGGGTACCTGTATCATGTAAGGAACAACCCAGAACTGAAGAAGCTTCTCGGATGAGAGGTGAAACGTCTTCAAGCAACTTAAAGAAGTCCAGACGCTTTTCTTTGCAAGCTCCTTAGACTACGATGACCTGGATGACTGAGAACCTTCACAGACCCTAAAACAACCCTATTTTTTTAAAAAAAAAAAAGTTGGGGTGATGTAGAAAATGTTAAAACAGAATGCAGTGTTTTACAAATTGGTAAACAGAGTGTTTTTTATATAGCGATTTTCTATTCTGCCTAAAAGTGCTTTATACAACTTTTCATGAATCATGGGAGTGTCTGGTTTTCCAGCTGGAGCCGATGCGATCCCTGTGTCCGCCCTCATGGGTGGAGTTCCTGGTGTTTCACCTGCGTTGGATCCACGGCTAATCAGCAGAAGGGACCAATGTTGTCCTCCACTCTCCACCAGTTCATAGATGGTAACTAGGCCTTCCTTCTGTCTCACTTATATGGTTATTTCTTCGTGTGTAATCTTGTTTCCCTGTGCTTCAGTTCCTGGTCACGACTTCCAAAACCCATCCACTGCCACAGTTTCTGTCAAGCACTGGTTCTACCTGCAACACTCAGCAGTGACTCTACTTGGAAAACTCAACTGCTCACTTCACTAACTTTCCTGCCCTCCTGCCCGCCCGTGCACTTCTAGGACATCCTCTGGAATTTCATGACAGACCACTGTGATCCTTCGTGCTCCTCTCCCAAACACTCCTTTGCTTGAAATTCTTTCAAATGTATAAATAAAACAGCTCAGCTGGATCCTGTTTCCACTGATCATCTGTCACACATCTCTACAGTTTGACTGGAGGTAAAATCAGTTGACTGGATATGATTTGGAAAGACCTGTAGGTCTCATAGTTAGGAGTGTATGTCAGAGCACAAACCAAGCCATGAATTCTAAAGAAATGTCAGACCTAAGATGCAGGAGGGGTACAGAACAGGTACCTTCATCATCTGTAAATGGTAGAAGCACCAGGATTGTTTCTAGAGCTGGTTGCCCAGCCAATCTGAGCAATTGGGGTAGAAGAGCCCTAATCAGTAGGTGATCAAAAACCCAAGTGTTCACTCTCACAGGGCTCTTTGGAGTTGGGAGAATCTTCCAGAAGGACAGCCATTTCTGCAGCACTCCACCAATCAGCATTGTATGGTAGAGTGGCCAAATGGAAATCACTGTTCAGTAAAATGGCAAAATATGGAACAAGTGAAGCGCTGTCAATACACTGTAGATTTAAGAAACTGTATTTTCTGTTCCACAAAACATACATTCTCCCATGAATCAAAAAGATTAACACCTGTACTATTAATCTGTGTCAGATATACTTTAAGGATGCATTTCTTACCTTTTTGTTTTCAAAATCAAGGCATGAAAATAGTTTTTTTAGTACTCAATAATCAAATGTGTCAGGAAACAGTAAATCTAAGTTTATTTCACTGACCTGTGAAACAGTTAAAAGCTGTGACGTTTAAAGCTTGTGAGTTGTTTTCTGCTTATATAGATGAACCACATGACAAATACATTGTTCTGCCAGTGTCAGGTGTAATGTAATGGCTGGTTGCTGTATTAGAGGCTCAACAAATTTATGCCCCGAGGTCCGCAATTTGGCCATTTGGGATGAGTCATTCACCAGGAATTATTTCCAATTAGACCTCATAAAAAAACATCAGCCTCAATAAAAATAATGTGTTCTTGAAGTGAATAAGAAGAAATTCTAGTTCTGATGCATGATAGAATGAGTTAGAGAAACTATCTGTGACTGAGGCCTGTTAAATAAAGGCCAGGAAAGTGATGGAATCTTTTGTGTCCAGGATTTATCTCCAAGGGGTGGTAAGTATCGTACGCTCATTTTTTCCATGGCATAAAATTCCTCTTTTCTGAAAAGCATTAAAACGAAGGCAAATCAACTAATGCAAAATAGAAGAAATGTGGCTTGTTTGAGAGGCCACCACCACCTGTCTCATCCAACCATGTTCTCCATCATGTGGCATCACCGCCCCCTGCTGGTGTTGTTGGGAATTACCCCACCGCCCCCTCCCCCCCCATATTTTTGTGCATCATTTCTTTTTATTTCTTACCCTCAGTTTTATTTTGTGGCCTGCAAATGACGCAGTTCCAATAAAAGAAAGACATTAAAGTGTCTTACTGCCTGCTAACATAACAGCTGTGCATGCAGCTGGGTATCTGCAGGTCCTAGACTGAGAAAAAACCCAAAACCCAATGAAGAGTATTAATGTTTTAATCACTTTTTTTTTTTTTGGCGTGTGGGAGCTAGGTGTGGGGATAGGGCAGTCTAACCTGCTGTAAAATCCATTAGGTTTAGTGATGGAGAAGTAAGAAATCTGCTGATGTTTTCTGACTAGCACTGGCAAATTTTAAAAGGAAATAAGCAATTTTAAATGAACAATTTTAATTGAATTAAGCGCCAAAGAACCAGAAGCACTCAGTGAGCACAAACCTTCATCAAAGCAGCTCACTCTCTGGTCAGTTTTTACTTTAATGGGAATAGTTTGTGTTTTGTATATAATACATTTGTTTTAATAGTTCATGAAAAATAACACATTTTAGAGTCAGCTTGAAAGAACGGCAGATGTGAAATTTAAAAGTAAGATCAGTAACCCCATGCTTTAATAGCTCAGATTTGCTTCAGCTCATGTTTAAAACTCTTTACATCAAAACCCAAATCACACACTCACACATATTTTAAGATGATTTTTAGGAGTCCTGTGCATCTCAGCTTAGGGTAACATTACCTGAGATTAGTGATCAAATCAACAACACTAAGTTAAGAAATAATAATAATAGCCTCACAACTTCCTTGCATCACTTTAAAAAAATGTGTGTGTGTAGGAAAGTAATATCAATATTTACACTTCACTGCTGAAGAGTGAACATTGTCCCCGTCAGAGCGATGTATCCCGGAGTCATTTTGAAGTTATTCTGATTGTTAACTTATCCTGCATCCACATATCACCCTCATGAATCTGGTGAAATCTGGAGCATTCACATATTTGCATTATGAAATAGAAGATTAAGAAAAGTAATCAACTTCAAGGTTTGACGTATTAAGGTATGTAACCCAAGCTTTTCTTTCAGTAATAAATGTTTTTTTCTTGCTTCTGAAAAAACAGCTTTACAGTCAACAGGTGGCAGTAGTGCAGTCATTTCAAAAACCAGAGAGCTCAATTGTCCTCTAGTTTATGTTTGTGTGGTGGAGAGAGAGACACGCAAACAGGGCTGACAATTCCTGGATTTCAAAGTATGAAACTGTCCTGACGGCTACATTCAGATTTTTAGCCGGATTTGATGATGACGAAAAAGCAGCAGCCACACAGTCTGACTGACCCTAATAAACAATATTTATTCTTATGCATTATATAGACTATATGTGACCCTGTGCCTGTCCTCAAGGCTCTGTATTATATGCCAAATAGTCACATACCTTATCATAACTTATTAAGCATATGTGCAGTATGCATACTGATCACGTCAGTTTGTCACAGTTCCCTGCACTTCACATGGGACCTGTCCTATAAGATAAAATTTTCCATTTCCATCAGAAAGCCATTTGCTCTAATAAAAAAAAAGATTATAGATATGGGCAATGAAATTGGTCATGGATGGAGTGATGGGCCTGATAAGTGTGTTTGCCAAGTGAGTGGGAGATGAGCTCGGAGCCTGAGGCGTTCTCATTCAGATTGATGAATTCAAATGGTGATGTAGCCTTTTGGCCTTGTGTTTAAACAGCATATAGATGCCTGGGAGGGCTGTCTCTAAATTTACAGTGTCAAGCTAATTTGTTTTGTGATTCATGACCGACAGATTTGCTGGCAGACACGTGTTCAAATCCACTGTTTAGAGTGTAGAGCCTTTCACCTGTTTCACCTCATCTGGTAAGACTCTGTCAGATGTACAACATATAACTGAGCTCTTCGAGCTATTGCTCGATCCATACTCGGGCAAATGCCACAAAGAGAACAGAGTCTCTTCCATCTCAGCTTCAGCAGCCGTTTACCTCTTTGACATTCTGGTGAAAGAACACTGAAGGTAAAGGCATAAGGATGAGCTGTTCCTGCCACAAAGTACGGTCCAGTTTGGTCAAAGCCAACCCCTCTTCAAAACTCTCATTTAGAAGCTCTTTGGCTAGATAATTATGTTGAATTAATGTCATTATGTAGCCATTTCAGTGCTCTTTTCATCACACAGCCACTGCTATTTAGTGTGTCCATGCCATCCTCACGTGACATGTGCCACCCGCTTTTCTCTCAGTGCTGTTGAGAGAAAAGCACATGGCATGGACACATGAGTTATGAGCTATTTTTTGTTTGGATGTAGTTTGCCAAACCGAGGAAACCTGTGACGAAAAAATCCCAAACAACTGCTAGCAAATGCACTTGGTTTTCTGGACACACCAGCAACAACTGGATTGTGCCAAGCAAGGACAGACTTAGAAACCTTTGGATGGGGAGATGGAATAAATGTTAAATAAAATGAGGAAATGCCAGAAAAAGACAGAAGCATAAAAAACAAAACAACTAAGCATTCATGTGTTTCCTTTGTAATTGTTTTTTATTAATGTGTATACAGTTTGTGTCTTTGTGATCACTTGTAGCTTTTCTTGTTGCCATTTTGCTCTCCTTTTAGCTGTTTTACAAATCCTTACTTTGTAGCTTTTTGCAGCTTTGTCAGTCACCCTTTTTATAGCTGTTTTTTCTTTGTATTTGTTTTGTACCACTTTGTGTTTTTATCCACTTTTTTTTGTTGTTTGCTTTTGCCGCAACTTTAGTTGTATCGCTCTCTTTGTTTTGTCTCTTTTTTATTGTTTTCAGTTTCTTTGTAACTTTACGTTGTAGTCCCCCCCCTTGCCTTTGTAGTCCTTTTGCACTCCTTTGTTGTTGTTTTGCATTCTTGGAGTAATTTTGCATAGTTAAGCCATTTTATCAGTTTTTTTATAGCTACCTGGGATTTCCTTGTAGTTCTTTTGCTTCTCTTCATTGTAATTGTGCTTTTCTTTGTAGCCTTTTAAGGTCTATTTTCTAGTAGTTTAATCAGATGTGAGACATCCTGGGTCTATTCTTCATACACTAATAATCCTCCCTGCTAATCATTTTAATCTGATAGGGACCCTTAACATCCATCCCTACCATCACTCTAACCCTGATCTTGTAGGTTTAGCCAGCAAAGAAAAGGCAAAAGTCACCCTTGAGGTATCCAAAACCTGAGCTCTAACTCCTCAATTCCTCAAAGCCAACCGGATTTGAATCACGGTTTCAACTTCCAGCTGTCTAGCCCTTGTCATTCTCCTAATCTCTTTCCCAAATGTTGTTTCTGTCTTCAGTGCAACTATCCTCCTTTTCTGCAAACATTCTTTGGCTAAAAGCTTCTACTGGTAATTGCTGTTGTGCTTTCCCCACCTGTGGACTGCTTAAAACCACAAAGGGTATGATTAGAGGAAAATAGTTAGACCAGCACCATTTTAACATTCCATTTTCCTTTATAAATACAGCCAATGGCTAATATCGCACAGCTTCTTGATGGCTCACAGTAAGGCCCTGTTTATGCATGTGTGGATATTTTGATAAACACAGTATTTTCTATGTATTTTATCCTTTCATCCACATGCAAACAGTGTTTTAGTCCACTAAAAGGAGCTTCTGAAACTCTGTTTACAACTGAGACTTATCTTGTCTTACGTCATCAAAAAGGTGCACTTTTCCTCTTTTGACAACAGGTTGTGTACTTTATTGTTGTTTCGCAGCCACCGTGGGGCCCTTTGTGGGGACAGCTCATGGTGGGCCCGGTATCAACATGAAATGTGGGCACCTGTGGTGGGCAGCCCAGTTTGGTCCCAGTACTAGCATGAAATGTGGACCACATCTGGCCCCATACTTTGAGACATATTGACCATGTGGTGCCCACACTCTAGTCGTGGGCTGCTTTACTTGACTGGGGCCCCCCAGGCAAGTCAATGTCAACTTTTGCAGCAAACTATAGTGATGAGAGGAAATACACACATCTTTTAGATGCTTAAAACGTCTTCTTGATTTCTTATACAGACTGGGCAGCAGAAAGTGAGACAGATGCTAAAAGCATTTTCTGTCACTGTGACATTTTCACATGCACAGCAAAAGATTCACTTCCCACAATAAATATGGTACATTAGACTGACACACAGAAGCA